CCAGCCATTCAACCCAGCAAGTGCACCTACCATTGCTTAATAGAAAAGAAAAAGCAAGTTGGTCCAAGGAGGAACTTTAAGAAAATAAAGATCAGTATTTTTCACTCAACCTTGAAAGAAAATTTCAGTATATTTGAAGGTCACAAGCAAAGCATATTTCCAAAAACAAAGATTTTGATGTGTTGGAGAGGGAAGAAATAATTCTCAGAATTACATTCTGGCATGTTAAATGACTGATTTACTTAATAAACCCATCATACATTTTTTTGTTGAACTGAACTGAAGGAACTTTGAAAATAGGCTTATTTCGCATGTTTTGGCAACAACAGATAGTCTAATATGAATTAAATTAAGATAACTTATGGGTTTTGTTGCTGTTGTTCTCATAAAACGTGCACATAAATCCATTCCACCTTGATGTCTTATAATGGATAACTCTAAGTAAGAGTTAATATCAACACTAATTTGTCTGTTCCTTCCTAATTCATGTGTTTTCTCAAGTTTCAAAGTAGTCAAATAATCAAATACCCCTTTGAATTGAAATCATCCCAGGCCATTTAAGGTACTAACTGCTTAGTAGCTCAAAGAGTAGGTAAAATTATCCTGTACACGTAAAATTTTATAAAGTTACAGGTACTTTACATTTATCCTTTAGCTTTGCAAATGTTATGAATTCACCATCTTACATCTTTTAACAGGGAGGATATTCCAAAGACAATATCCCATTTATCTTCAGCCTTAAGATCTTCAGTTTGGAGATAATATAATTACTTAAAGCACATTCTGCATGTTCCCTGCTTTATTATAGAGTTGAAAATGGAGAACTTATATCCTGGAAATGGATGAGATAAGTGCAGTTTGTCAAACTGGCCAAAGAATGTGGAGTTCACAGAGGCTACCATATTTGGACCTAAGACATATTAACATTTCAGGTAATTATAATTCACTGGGTCCCATTCCTTCCTCTCTACATTTGAAATGAGTTGTGTTGAGGAGAATGTTATTTCCATATACAGAGAGCATAATTCTGGGTGAGGCCAGGCAGGAAACAAGGCTGGGAGGAAGCTATAAACATCCATTCACGGTGACGGGGCAACCAGATACTTTTGTTTTATTTCAGCAGCCCCATGACTAGTGCAAAGCTGCTGCTGATTCATCTTGGGCAGTAAAAAAGATTCAAAGAAAGACAGAAAGAACTGGGTGAAGTATAAGTTTTACAGGGCATACAGGTTGAAGGAGATCAAAGTATTTATTCATTACCTATGGGTTAAGAGGTTGTGCTGTTGAACAGAAGCTGAACACTGTTTCATGCTTGAAGCTGGGCTGAACTGTTAAGAGTAGAAGGAAGCTTAGGATCCATATGGTAGAAATTCCATTTTATGGAAGAGGAAAATATGGGCCAATGAAGTATTGTGACCTGTGGAGGAGCCATGTAGAGAACCTGGGCCTCAGGACATCTATGACATCAAATGCTCAACCAGAAAGCCCACATCAGGAAAAATAGTGGCAAATATGCATCTGAGAGCTAAAAAAGATTTTCTATCTATACCTTGTCTCTACCTAAGGAGAATGCCGGCAGGTAGATCATGCCTTCGTTACCCTGCTATGTGGCCACATCATGAGACGGTCTTCTTAACTCTTTCTTGGCTCTGTTTCCAAACCCTCTGACAGCATCCCCCTGTTCTATGGTAAGTTTTCTTGCAGTCACCACTGGCAGGTATCATCTTAAAATTCTGTCCATGGCTTTCTGGTAGATGCCTTAATTAAATCACCTACAGAATACATTTCTCTTACTCCCAGCTCAATGTAATGGGAATAATGCTCCCATCTACTCTTCTCCGCTCTGGCCTGGCTCTGGTCTCAGAATTCCAACTGCAGAACAGAGCATGTCTTTTTGGATGCCGTAGCATCCCTTGGCCAAAATGAGTCTTAGCCCTTTCTCCACATGAGCTCCTCATCTTAGCTCAGCATTCTGGCCCTGAAGTCCTATTATTTTACTCTCATTGATCTTGTTCTGGATTTCAGTGTCTCCAAATTAGGACTGTCGCAAGAACATTCTAACTAGGTCTCCTGTTTTTAGGGACCCTATGTCCACCCCATGCACCGATGGCCAAGGTTTGCTACAAAGGGAGAGCTCCAATTCTATTATTCCCCTGATCAAAACCTTCTGGTGGTTTCCTACTACCTGCAAAATAAAATTCAAACGTCTTGACTTGGGCTTCAGTGGAGCCATGTGTTGGGTAATCATTCAATCAATATTTGTTGAGCACCAACTAGATGCCATGCACTGTGCTAAATGCTGGAGGCAAGTCAGCTTAACAAGACACAGCCCTTGCCCAAATAACTTCCTACTCTAGGAGAGGGACGCAGAACAGAAAGCAACCACATATAACATGGTGTGTGTGTGTTTGAGGAGCCATGCCAGAATTAGGGTATGTTCTGTGATAAAAGAGGAACAGCACCTATCCCAGGCTGGGGTGGGAAGAGGTGGAGGAGAGGAAGGCAGGGGGCAGTCAGGGAAGCAGGGATCAAATCAGGGAAAACTTTCCTGGAAAAGGTCAGCAGAACGTCACATATGAAACGGCAATCAGATAAGCTGGGCAGGGGTGATGAGTGATGACGTACAGTGTTTTAAACAGAGGATCGAGTTTGCATGGCCTTCTCTCTGAACTCCATCTCTACACTAATTGATACAGTTCTTCTTTAACACCTTTACTTACCTCTGCCTTCAGTTGCCTTTCCAGGCTTTCAAAGTCTGGCTCCACCACCACTCCCTGGAGATTTTGTTTGAAAAGCCAGCCAGAAATCACCTCTGCTATCCCTAAACCTCCTTAGCCCATACTTCCATACCTGGAGCATGGAGTTGCTCAGTGTATACTCACCAAGTGAATTTCTGCTGCCTTTTCACTGGGGTCTAAGCACCCCATGACCAGCCTAGCGCACTGACTTCATCTGGCCTCCCGCCTCCTGCCTCTTCCCTTCATCAGATGGACTACCTCACCATCATCCAAATACACTAAGCTGATGCTGCTCCAGGGACCTGGAATGTTCTTCCCCTGACCTCCTCAGTTCTACCCATCTTTCCTACACCACATCAACTCATTCCTTCTTTCATAAGCCCCATCGTAACCTGACCTCTCTTCCCTCTACAGCTTCCTTTTACCTTTAGGTTCAACGTAATCCTCTCTCTCTAATTGGACCGCGGGATCCTGTCCACCTTCCACATGGCCGACTCTGGCAGAGACCTGACAAAATGGCAAGAGATGACTGGGAGGCTATTGCCCATCTTTGCTTCCAACTTTGAGCAGGGAGAATCTGGTTTCTAAAGTAGACAGAGGTCACTAGGGAAAAAAATAAATCAGCAACAAAAAGGAGTACCTGAGATATGTTGGGGGAGGCGGGGAGACTTATAGACTCATAGAGGAAAGCCAGGCGAAGGGCTAAGTCAAATCCTATCAAAATGCATGACCGTGTCTTCCCTTGTTTGCCTTACATGAATGGTTTTTCTGGAACACACTAAAGAGTTAAGAGATTCTTTTCTCCAGAGAGGTGACTTTGCCCCTTTAAGTATACCTTTGTGTTTTCATGAGAACAGACAAAGTAAGTTATTTTTGCTTTAAATTAAAAGGAACTACTTCGTTTCCTTTGAGGTTAGTTTTATTTATGTCTATAGTCGTTCTAGTTTTCTTATTCTGAGACGACAGAAAGAATCAATGATTTGAGACAAAATGTTTCAGGTATGTCTTCCACCATTCCCTGGCAGAACCTCAAAAATGATCTGTTTTTCAGAGATAATAAACTTTGAAGTTTCAATAACATCTTTACTTCTGGGGGAAACTTCCCTTTATCATTTCCTCATATCAACGGTCTGCTGCAATTGGGAAAAGCGGGGGAGATACTGTTCTGTATCCTTATCTCACCCCCTGTGATGGCGATGTTTCCTCGTGACGGTTAGTTTATTAACCTCTGGCAGGCCTCCAGGAGTAAATAAGGGTTGAACGTCGTTGGATCTATGCCAGGAACTCATGCAAGATCTTTGCCCTTTGTCAAGACAAAGAGAGTCTCTGCCAGACAAGTTACATCAAAATGGGCCACAATGAGACTCGAGAGAAGGAGGGTCTGTTGGTACTTGAAGAACTAGCCCCTCGAGGGGCGTAAATCCCAGACCAAAGGTCCACTTTCACATATGGAGTTCCCAAATAACTATCTTCTAAATATCCTAATGTTTAAGAAATGAAATTAGAAAGTATATTTGAAGTCTTACCTAGGTCAGCAATACACTTTGCAGGTACAAAAGCTCTTCACTGAATCGAATCTTCCCATGGAGTCTTAGAGGCCCTTATTTTGACAAAACTACCTAGTTAGATGAGCCTGAGAAGTCTTCCACATGCACTTTGCAGGATTTCTATAAGCTACAAGATGCAACACTTCACACAATCCAGTACTTCAAAGGGTGTCACCTGAAGCCCTTTGAGTTTATTTCTAAGCTTGCCGTAGCTCCTAGGATCTCCACCTCTTCCCCCATCCTTACTTCCTGTTCCCTCATGTCTCTTCTTCCCACTCCATCTACCTTAGCAGGGCTCAAGCCCCTTCCTCTTCTGTCTTTGGTTTTCACTGAGCAGCTCACCACCCAAACTCACTCCTAAGCACCTCTTTCAAACGTTTCAGAATCAGAAGCAACGCAGAGTGAAAGGGCTGGAATGCATTCTTTTCTTGATTTGGTGGCCACAACTAGATCCCTTAAGTCCCAGTGTCTGTAGGTCCTAAGTAGATTTCTTCTCCCAACCTTCAAATTTTCCCCTTGATTTGGAAGTTCTTCCTCTTTTCCCCTCAGACTGACATATCAGCAGGCTCTTTCCTCTATTAAGCTGAGGTCATCGTCTTTGTGTTCCTGGTGGCCTACTGTGGGGATTTCTTGGGCACGGTGAGTGGTAGCAAAGACCAACCAACGGCTAACAGATTGTCCCTGCTGAGCACGTGTCAGGGGTCCAGACTCTCACCTGAATGAGGAGATCGATAGCGAAAGTCCTCTTTGGTCAGCAGCAGGAGAGCTTTGCCATTCATTTCAAACGTGTTGCTGTCAATTGGTCTTAAAGAAAACTCATTTTCAGCCCACTTGAGCCACTGGGCTACGTCATCCCTGCTCCAGTAAACTGGCTGCAAGCCTGTTGGAGAAAGAGCAAGGCAGAGAGAGGGAGGGAGAGAGAAAGAGAGAGAGAGAGAGGAGAAGGTCTTGTCAGTTAGACAGTTGGAATAAAGGGAAAAGCTTTCTGAATGGTTAATAAAATTGAGGGTCCATGTCTGAAGAGCCTTTATGTTCAACTCTGAATCCCAAGTTAAAGCTCAAGATTTATAAGTACCAAAGTGTGGTATCCAATTAACTATTTATTTAGAGGCAAAATAAGACAAATACTTTTTTATGTCTTCAATGGACCCTAGGTCTTGGTGCCAGGTCCTTCCTTGTCCAGCCCCTGAGGCTGTCTTGATCCCAGGGATGCCCTAAAGCTGAGGCTCTTCGGTGGCCTGAAACACGCACGGGACTCAGAGTCATGACAGATGTCAATGTGCTTTGGAGGGGACCTTAGCATCACAGTTGAGCTGATTGTCACCCACTGTCCTTTTGAAGTGAGAATGTTCCAGAGCTGGGCTTGACCTTTGAGAGCTGCCAAATAATGAAGTGTTCCCTGAAACTTCTTCCAGGAAGAATAATTCACTTAGCCTCTGGGAAACTATCAAGCTAGCCTCTGGGAATGAGAGGGCAAAGTGAGGATAAAAGGTCTTCTGCCTTTTCATTCTACTTTTTTGATGTTAGAACTTCCTGGCGGGGGTGGTACTTGGACTCTGAGTAGGACCAGAAGTGGGCCAAAGGGAGGGCTGCAGCTTGGGTTAAGAGGGTAGCTCAGGCTGGATCTTTCTGGATGCCTCTGAGTCTATATTTTTATTTCATTTTGCTGTTATGAGAAATCTTTGATATATCATTCAAGTGTTTTAGAACAGTGGTTCTCAAAGTGTGATCTGGGGACCCCTCAGGGTTCCCAAGACCTTTTCAGGGTGTCTATGAAGTCAAAACTCTTTTCATAACAATATTAAGAGGTTACTGACTTTTTCCCACTCTCATTCATTCATGAGTATATAGTGGAATTTTCTAGAAGCTACATGACGTGATATTGCAGCAGACATGAGAATTTGGCCATTTTCTATGATGCCAGACATTAAAGAGACTTGCAAAAATGTAACACAATGCCACTTTTCTCGCTAATTTTTTTTGTTCTGGAAGATATATTCATAAATATATACTTAATGCTAATATAAGCTTAACTTACTATTTTCAGTAAGTACTTTTTAAATTCTCAGTTTTAATTTCCAATATGGTAAATATAGATAGATAAAACCCATATGAGTGAAGCTCTTTGGGGTCTTCAATAATTCTTAAGAACTGAAAGCAGTCCTGAGACCAAATGATAACAGACGTGTTGGAAGAAGCTAGAAGCTCAACAGAGCTTCAATCTTTAAAACTATATTGCATGAATTAATAGTTCAAGTACAGTGGAGTCAGGGTTTGCTAAGAGGAGATTCGGTCTCCCCAGTAAGTTACTTAAACTTGCTAAGGAGACTCGAGTGTGCTGTCAAAGAGCCCTTCAGCTGGATCCTGGAAAGAGTCACCTTTTCATCCTTAAGCATCACAAAGAACTGTCTGGTCTACTTGGATGGGCTGCTTTTCCTCCCTGGTAGACAAGGGAACGAACAGTTCAGATCTCTTGGAGAAGGTCCAGGGCCTCTGGGCATGACTATTGGCTCTGTCTTCCAGGTGACTGCTCCCCTGCAAAGTCTAGTTTTGAAGAATGGCAGCTGGTTTCCTTGAGCTCTGGGGAAGTCCTTTCTAAAGCAGGCTATCGTGTAGGGCACCAGGAAAGAACTATGGGTGCTGGGCTCATTAGAGAAGGGCATTTAAGAGTTCTTCTTGTTTTGCACATTTAATAGTTTTACATGAGAAAAAAAATGTGGCATCATAAAATAAGAACATGTAGCATGCTCCTGCTCTATGATCTTGAGACTAAAAGACAGCCACTAACGAGTTCAAGGTTTTGTTTCTGCCTCTTAACTGTGCCAAGAAGTAATGCCTATTCAAATGGTCCTTGGATATAAAAGGTGTCCCCACTCTTTCCAATGACCTTGAAAATATATCTGGAATTGCAGTGAAATGGGAGTGGGCCTGAGGATGGTTCTGCAAGATCTCAACTTCTGAACCAGTAAATATCCTTAATGTTTACTTCCTATCATCAGTGGTGTCACCTTTGAACAGGAACAGCACAGTGATTAGTGACTTGTTACTACAACTTTCCCCTTCCCCTCCTTCACACAAACAGCATGGGTACAACCAGATACTGGGAGCCAAGTGTGAGGTTCCAGTGAAGCTTGGCCTAGGAAGGAGCCTGGTCGTAGGTGGGCCACAGAGCAGAAGACGCTCAGTCAGAAACAGGAAAAACGATGGGGTAGCTTATTGGAAGTGTGAACGCCAGAGCAAATACAGAACCGAATCCCACTCAGGAGGGGAAATGAGAGTAAAATGCTGAAGTGTCTGTAGAGATTCACTGAACCGGAGGGAGGCGGGTGAGAAGGGGGTGGGGGACACAAGTAGTAATTTGAGGTTCTTTATATTCTATGGAAGAAAATACTCATGAGTAATCTTTTCCCTAAATACAAGAAGAGTCACACACTCCAAACACCCCTGCTGGTGAAGGGCGACAGTTTCTCTTTTCACTTCCCATTAATGTCTCCCACAGGCCAGTCCCTGAAGCCAACGCTGCGGAAACCCCCTCCCAGGGAAGCGACCGGAGTGCTGCTCTGGGCCGTGTGCAAAAGGGACCCATCGAGTCACCGTCAGTCCGGGGAATACCAAGGCAATCCTAGCAGGTTTACAAAAGTGACCCCAACAAACCTAGCTACCTGCTCAAGGCCTGCCAGGACACTGATCAGAGTCACTACTCTTCCTTTAGCATAAAGAGAAGGTAGACACATTCGCCAAGCTTCTGGAAAGAGGCTTGATAAACTACGGTGTTCAAAGTCAAGTTCTACGGCTGTTTCCTCTTTAATTCACTAGAACGACTGAGGAAAAAGAAGCCCCTTTTCCTCAAACCTAATAACTCTTAAGGTCTTGGACTTATAGCATCTAAATGGAACAGAGCCTTGGACCCAGAGGCAACTCTGTCTAATTAGGACCATTTAATTTGCTTAATAGTCATTTATTAAGCACATCTATCATCTAGCACTCTTGGAGGCACTTTATAAATATAAGTTCATTTAACTGCATTGCTCACAGCAATCCCACGAGATAGGGGTTTGGATCAGGGAACTCAGGCTCAGAGTATTGAAGGGATTTGCCCAAGGTCATAGGGTCAGGGTAACAAGAGGGGCTGAGATTCGAACCCAGGCAGTCTGGTTTCAGAGTCTCTGCTCTTATCCCTCACGTTTTGCTTGCGCACGCATTTCCCACCCGGAGTCAGAATTCAGATTGATTTCCAGTATCTATTAGGGATTCAGAGAAGACTGAGTCAACTGAAACCTCCTCATCCCAGACTTTGATCCTGGGAGGCCTTCTCCAGTTACCAACAGACTAAAAATAGACCAAAAAAAAAAATTGTATATCTCTGGAGAAGTAGATTGATAAATGGGAAAAGGAGGGAGGTGTAGGTGGCCCTCTGCTTTGAACACATCCAGGAATAACGTGCTGCCCTCACTGGCTACTCGTGGCTCACTGGCACTGGTCTTGAGACTTGACGTGGCTCACTGCGCCTAACCCACCAGAAGCCGCACAGGCAAGGTGAAGGAGAACTCTCACATAGAACTGCCCTTACGGTTTTTTCTTGCGGCGTTAACTCAACAAAGCTGAATCATACTGATATTACTTATCATTAGTAAAAGGAAGAGAGAGACCCTTTTCCTGTACCTCTGTCACACTACTCCCTGTGCACATTATAAACCCATGAGAGCCATACTAAGACCTGCATTTTTTTTTTTAGATTTTATTTATTTATTTGATAGACAGAGATCACAAGTAGGCAGAAAGGCAGGCGGGGGTGGGGGGAGCAGGCTCCCTGGTGAGCAGAGAGCCCAATGCGGGGGCTCAATCCCAGGACCCTGGGATCATGACCTGAGCCGAAGGTTGAGGCTTTAACCCACTGAGCCACCCAGGCGCCCCAAGACCTGCATTTTTAATGTCATTCATTTCAGAGCATATTTGAGAAGAACTTTGTAGAGAAGAAATGAACTGCTGTGATTAAGAAAATTCCTAAGAATTCTACTGCATTTTTTTTTTTCTAAGTAGGTCAAGTGAAGTTCATGGTGTCATACCTTTTAGTGACACCCAGGCCCTAAATTTCCTTCTAATAGTTCTTCGATTCCATGGTCAGAGGAGCAGCCACTTTCATCAGCACATTGTTAGCCCAATTTCAAGCTCTCCAAGTTACATTTAGACTAATGATGGAAAATGCACGGGGAGTCTGGAAGTTGGATTTAACCCCCACAGCTTCCATTAGTTAACAGCTGATTTGGGCCAGTTTCTCTCTGGCTCAGTGGCTTCCTCTGTAAAATGAGGGGCTCAGAGTACACGATCTCTGTTGCTTTCTGGGTTAACATAGTCAACACCCTCCCATGGCATCTGACTCCGAAAAACCAAAGAATACAAACAGCTAGGACCTTTTTTCTACCGAACTACTCCCTCCTCACGATGACGACCCTGAGATTTTGAAACTTCCTGAATGATCTTCTGAGTCTCGGGAAACAGATTAAGTTATTTTAAGTAGAGTGTGGTGCTTAAGAGTGTTTTCTTCTATTACGGTTCTTGGAAAAGTTCTAAACCGGCTCAGGCAATAATAAACATGACATTTTGACTAGGTGCTTTCACATGTATGACTTCACGTGATTCTCACAAAAGCTCCGTGAAATCTATCATGTTCTCATTTCAGTTTAACAGAGGAGGAAACAGGGCTCGGAGTCATGAGGCGATGGCACCGGTTTGAATGAAATTCAGTTCAAGCTCTTCTGCTATAGAATGCATTCATCAAAAACACCCTTTGTCCCAAACTCTGTGTGTAAACAGGATTTTGATGCTGATTCTGTGGTTGATAGGACAGAACTGTAAAAGAGGAGACGAACCCTGGGGGAG